TATCTTAACATATTCACATTCTTCATAGAGATATGTTTAGTTTTACCCAATACAAATTACTAAGCCTCTATTTTACCACAATTAAAACAAAACTCTTTTTCTCCTCAAATTCATTTGTGATCATACATTTTCAAAATAAATTCTGCACGTAAGTTTAAAACTTTTTTCTACTTTTTTACCACATATTCTATAAAAATCACTATTCTAAAACTCATTTTTCGTATTAAAAAAAAAATCATTTTAAGGGTTGTCAAACAAGAGCTAAATAAAATTGATAAATTGATCGTCAAGTTTAAATGAGTGTTGTCATTGTCATGGATTCTTGTTGAAATGGAATAAAAAATGCAAATCAAAGTAATCTAGTATTTATTTGTTAATCTAGTTTATAAACGTCTTTAATTACTCATTAGTTTAGCCTACAAATAAATTTAGGTCAACTAATGAATCAAACACATCATACTGTGCTATTTGAAAAAGATATTTTACTCACACTTTATTACTTGAATACGATAAGGTATTCTTGTGGGATTTTAGTGATCATGTTTTCGGCAATGTTAATTTAGTTAATTTTAGTTGATCATAGCTTTATTTTTTAATGCTTTACTTCAAAATTTCAAATATTTTCAAAATTGCAATGTTGCTCTTTCTTTCCGCCCCCGAGGGGGGGAGGGGGCTATGGTAATCTTGCTCGTTTTTTGTTTGAGGTTAAAATGAAAAGAAGAGATAGAAGTACACCAAAATTAGGAATGTAAACAAGCCGAGCCGAAACTTTCGGCTCGGGCTCGGCTCGAGTAAATCATAGCGGGCTTTTTACGAGCAGGTCCGAGCCGAGGCCGGGCCGACTTGATTTTTTTAATTTTTTTTTACCAATTTTTAATGACATTTTTTTTTCACATGCCAATTGTTGTAGTGCAATTTGTTTAATGTAGAAGGCAAAGAAATTGTTTAATGACATTTTTTCACATTTTTTTAAAGAATTTAAAAATTGCATCATTTATTATTTATATAAATTACAATTTAAATAAAAGTACAACTTACAAAATTATGTAATTTATATGAATAACAAATTAAATAAAAGTTACAAATTACAAATATCCTCCTTTTTTCGGGCTTGGAACCGACTACAATCAACGTAGACGGAGTTAAAATTGTACACGAATAAAATATTTCGTGTACAATTTTTCTTGAATCAAATAAATTTAAAAAATACATTTCTTAAAAAAAATAATTAATTTAAAAACTTACAACATCCTATGTTTGGATATGCTGCAACTCTTCGGCCATTATACTATCAACATGTTCTTGAACACGTAATTCCACACATTCTCAATCCTTCATACATATCAAAACCTTCAATATATCTTCTATTAGTCTAGATCGTTCATCTGATAAAATTCGACCACCTAAATTGAATGCAGCCTCCGATGCTACCGTAGACACCGGAGATGTTAGTAGACCACTTGCAATTTTTGATACAATTGGATATTGCCTTTCATTATACCTCCACCAATTTAAAAGATTAAATTCTTGTAATTCGTTTGGTTGCAATACACTACGAACATCCATGCACATATACCTAGCTAACTCAGAAGGAATTTCAAGATTTGTACCACTAATATTGATCGCTCTAGATGTTGATGAACTAGAACTAGAACTAGAACTAAATGAAGGAACACTTGTATTGCTATTTAAATAATTCTATAAATTTTTGGAATTTGTTGAAATATTTCTTGAAAAAGAACCATGGGAAGTAGAACTACCCTGACCTACATTTTCAGCATAATAATTATACATTTCACATAAAAAAAGTTCTATATGCACATGTGATAATTCTATATTCAAATCATCTGATATCTCCTTTACAGTAGTTTTTGTGCCAGTTAAATTAAGTCGAGGGTCCATTACTGAAACTAAAAGAAATAAAGAAGGCAACTCTTCCCAATATTTACAAAATTTTAAATCCATAGAGCGGACTATATCAGCAAAAAGTGGCAAATTTCTATATTTATGAAATGCTTGTGAAATGTAGAAAAAATATTGTAAAACAAGAGAAGATGCAGGGTAATAAACACCGCTACATTCCTTTGTAGCATCGAAAAAAGATTGTAAGAATTTTTTCACGTAAAATACAATAGTCCATTCCCAATCTTTCAAATTATGTTCGGGTCCGAGTGTATGCCTACCATTATAACATAGTGAAATTATTTTATCGTAATTTTCACACGAATGTAACATAAGGCATGTAGAGTTCCATCTATGCGTTACATCAGTGGCAAATGATTTCTCCTGTAATCCATACTCTGCACACAAACTATTAAATACTTGTTTTCTTACTGGTGACACAGTAATAAAATTTATTGCTTGTCTAATTTTATCTAAAGGTGAACTTATATATTCTAATCCAGATTTTACAATTAAATTAATAATATGACATACACAATGTTGATGTAAAAATAAATTTTCAAATACGGGGTTAAGATCAGCAATAAATCTTTCAATAACAATTTTGTTCACTGCAGCATTATCAAAAGTAAAACTTTAAACCATATCTCGTATACCATATTCCTGTATGATATATTTTAAAACCATGTATATGTTAGTGACATTATGAAGATATTCTACACATCTGAATGCAATAATTCTTTTATGTAGAAGCCACAGGTGATCAATATAATGAGCCGTATCAGCAATATAACATTTTTTATTACAACCGGTCCATAAATCAGAAATAAACGATATAACACTATTAAAACTTTTTAAACCTTCAATAGTAACTTGTTTTCTTCTGTTATATAACTTTATGCTATCCGAACGAAGAGTATTTCTAGAATAAGAAGAATACCTGGGTTGAAGATATTTCTGCACGAGTCGGGTAAAGTGTATTGAGTCTATCATCGTAAGCGGCATCTCTGTTGCAGCCATTCCTTCACGAAATCTTTCCTGTGAATATACAAAGGTGGAAAGAGTAGAATTAGAACCGTCAAACACTAATTCGGTCTGTTTCGAGTCGAGATCGGCTGGTTTTGCTTTGCAACTCCTTAATACGTGCCTATTCAAATGCGTTGTGCTCGAACCAGGCTTCCAACTAAATTCTTTGCCACAGTAATTGCAACATGCTTTCCAAATATCTACTTTATTTTGAATACCAATTTTTTTACGTGTCATATGTTACCAACAATCCGATAATTCTTTTTTTGACCTTTTTGTCTCGAGTACTTGAACTTCTTCCTCTTCAATATCCTCCAAATTAATTGGAACATTTTGACATGCATCGTAATTAGATGGAGCACTCGAGTTACTGCCAAACTGATTAACTTCATCACTTGTAAAATCCATAATAACTAGTCTAATAAAAAATACTGAATATTATACCGTAGAGTGAAAGAAATTGAATATATTAATTGTTATATGAGAAGTGAGAGAACAAGAAATTGAAACTTGAATGATTGAATCTGAATCTATAATATAGAAATAATGCGAATTAAAATCGATAACAAAATGATTTAAAACTTCAAAAATCAACCCGTATTTATATACAAAAAACTCGCGTTATTTTTCAAATTTGAATTTCAAAATCTACATGACTACACCAAGTAAAAATGCAGCTATAGCTGCCCCACCTGGCAAGTGTAACCTGCTACCTGTGACCTGCTGCAGATTTTTTTTTAATTTTTTTTTTTTTTGCCCTTTAATTTAGCTCAGGCCAAGCATTATTGTCACGGGCCAAAATGGCCCGTGACACGACGAGCCACACGGGCTTGTTCGGGCTCGGGCCGACCTCTTATTTTGAGGCTTGATTTCTACGAGCCACGAGCTGGCGGGCTTGGACTTTTCCCGAGCAGGGCCACGAGCCACCCAAGCCATCGAGCCTTTTTGACATTCATAACCAAAATAGGAAAATGAAACAATAACCGAAAACACAGCAAATCTTATTGCCATTGTGATTAACGAGAATGAAAGACTAATGGGAAACTTGATAGCTCCACTAATTGTGGAGAATTAGTCGAGCATAGCCTATCCAGCATTCGAGAAAGAAAACTTTCATTTGAAGGCATATGTGATAAATTATGTTTTAGAGCTCGGTGCAGTTTTCGAGACCAAACCATAATCCAAACTCTCCTCTTTCAAGATTCTTGGATAAGTTCGAGTATATAGCTTATTCGATGTTACGAGTGATGTAATAAGTTTGAGGTTATTCCTATTAGAAATTTACTTAAACATGCAAAGCGGAAACTAAAATCGAATTTCAATCCCCACCAAAAATCTGCTTTGTGTTTAAAAAGAAACTGTGATAGAAATTATATATTTCTTTAATTCTGCTAACTCCTTTGCTATTATTGTGTTCCACCAATCTTAATCTGCCATCCACAGTTGTCTAATTGTCCAGTCTCCAATGAAAATTCACACAGAGAACAAGATTGAGAGAGAACTAAGGTTTTTCTTCTTGTACTAGCAAGAAAAATGAAAATTCTCTACAAATTCTAAATCCTAATTGTTTATTAGATTTTTCATTAGATGTAGTTTATGGTTTTTTAATTCGAATGAGGTTTGGCCAGTGACACTAATGGAGATTCAGATATCAGAGGTTTCAAAACAATTCACATCAATGGAGACTAGTTGCTTACTATTGGTAGTTGCTTCCTTATACACAAAAATGTACTATTGAGACTAGTTGCTAACTATGTTCAAGATGATTTGTGATAGAGAACCACATGAAATCCTTATTAATCCATAAATTACTGAGAATATCTAGATTTTAAAGAATTTCATTGAAATTCATTAAATTATTAGTTGAGAACATTTAGATTTAATGAATATATTAAAATCTCAATTAGGACACTTGAATTTCAAAATACTTTTAAAATTCATCAAAATCACAGTTCAAGACCCCCTTGTACATATGTACAACTTTCTCATGTTTGTTATGGTGAATTGGATAGACTAAACAAACTTACTATTTATATCTATTTGCATCATATCTGACCTCTCTCTCAATATCTTTATACACAATTTTTTGTCTCACTATTTGCTTATATTTTCAATTTACACAAAAAAAAAAAAGAAAAGAAAAGAAAAAGAAAAAGGAAAAAGAAAGAAGGGATTGCATCAACTACAAGATGCAGCAAACTATTACTTACTAAACTTAAAGTTGGCTACATAAATTCATTTTTTGCTATAGATTCAAATCTGTTGCTTGTCTAACAAGAACGGAATGATAAAGCAAGGGGGTGGTGGTGGTGATGAAAATGACGGGCGTTGTGACTATTAGCCTCCTCGATCTGCCTCCGAAGATGAAGAAATTGGTCGACTGAAGATGGAAGTTTAAGAGGGCCCGTAGCACTATAACCATAAACTTCGCGAGCTTCGTCAAGAAGTTGCTTGAACAAAGGATCGTAAAGATAGGATATTGGGATGATAAATATTTGGAAACCTCCATCTTCATTTTCTAGCCCAACCCTAACTGCAAGACAGCCTTTCTTCACTTTCATCTTCTTGTTCCTTTCCTGCATTTTATTCCCCATCTTAACTACGGGTTGAGAGAGAGAGAGAGAGAGGAAAGTTTCCTTGATAATTGAAGGGTAAACGATCATATATATAAACACACACTATGTACATGGCCGTATATGTGAGGTAAAGGTTATTCGAAGATTTATTTATATAACAAAAAAGTTCTCAATCGAGTCATCCGAATATTTAAAGCAATTATTGGGATCTTTATTCAAACCACAGCAGATAATTTACAATTGGAGCTTTATTTATATATTAAAGAATAGTTTAAGTGCATCTTTTCGGGACCATGTAAGGCCTATTAGGTATCATTAAGAAAAAAGTATAGTTAGTTAATATATACTACTATTTATTTTCAAGATTCACCTAGACAATTTTGCGGGACTTCTCCACAAAGGGAAGGTACAGTTCATTCCCTATCGTCAATCCGTGTATGGTTTTGCCGGCCAAACCAAGTCTTTGGCTTCGTTTTCGGGGAGTGGAGTGGGTGTTGATGGCGATGATAGATGGACCCTAGAGACGAGTTTTTAGTGGATTGCATAATATATTTTCTGCCCTCTTATTGTGTTGAATTGAACCATTCTAAAAGATGAACTTTGAGTTTTTAACTATTGGTGGCAACGTTGGACAATGTCATGTCGTCAACAAGGGCGAACCCAGACGACTTAGGTTAGGGGGTCAAAAATAAAAATTATAGGTATATTCTAATTATAAAAATAAAAAATAAAAATGCTAAACAAAAAAATGCTAAACAAATTTATTCTTTTTTCCAAAATCTAGAGGGTCAATTGACCTTGTAAAACCCCGCAGATCCGTCCCTGGACTCGTCAAAATTAGTGGATGGAGGTGGGATTGGCAGTAGTGGGTGGGCTTAATGTCGAAGAAGATGAATGGAACTTGGGCCTCTTTGTTATTCTTCATTTATGGGGCTTGGTTATTATTATTATTACAGTCATTTTTATATAATTAATTAAATTGAAGGGTAAAGTTGTGTATTTACGCTATGTTAACACGCAAATTGAACGGAGTCTGTGAAGAGGGATGAACATTGCTTATTTTTCTAAAAGGTTGGGAATAAATGTTAACAATAAAAAAGTTTGAAGACAAAATTTAGAACAATAATGCAATTTTCCCTATAAATTAACATTTATTATATATCCAACTAGATTTGGTATTGCCCCCGTCTGATAGCAGTCTTTCACCTCAAAAAATTAATTTTTCGTTAACTATTTCAATCGTCATTTTTTATTTCTTCACTCACTTGTGGGCTTTTATTTTTAACGATCAAAAAATTAATTCTCATAATTACTATCGTACAGGTCTATTATATATTAATATGCTCCCTGTGTAAAAGTTTACTGTAAGATTATCATTATCTCCATAACATATATTGCTAGTAGAAGAAAGTAAATGATGAGAGCACTCCCCACAAGTAGGGCGTGGCAAGAGCCAATTCTCTTCGGTGGCACATTTCGTTTGAGTGGTGCACTCATTGAGAGTAGACTTTCTATCCCATCTTTTGCCTTCACTTTTCCACCTCCCAGTCCTTTTCATAGGTGCATATCCTGAATAACTATATTATTTATATCAGTAGTGTGGATACCAGCCATTTCAAACTGTCCTCGTACGTACAAAAAGGCAAAGGTTATTAGGTCAAAAGCCATTTTGTTTGTCCTTCCAGAAAGATTATCGTGGACCTGAGGTACTGTATTTGACTTGCGTTTTAAAAGGTACATGGAGAGATTGCAGGATCTAGACTCTTGGGGATCTAAAGGGGTTACTCCAAACAATTATACTTGGTGTACAATCCAGTTTACAAACAATTATATTTGGTGTACAATTCATTTTATAATATTGTTGACAATATGTCACATGACATTTTATCATTGAACTATTTAAAAAATAATTTATCTTTTTAACCAACACTTTTTTTACACATACAACATTGTCAACTAGCTCCTAGTGGGGATTAAAAATAAAATTTTAGTAAATTTTTATAAAAATTAGTAAAATGTGTGATTAAAAAGTTATAGATTTTATGAAATATATTTTTAAAATTAATTATCAACTTTGATTTAGATTAAAATTTAGATTTTAATCCCTACCAAATAGAAGGCTTAGCATCTGTTTTGTATAGGTAAAAAAATTAATTTTTTTGGTATATTTTGATATAAGTAGGTGAAATGAATATTTGAAAAGTTAATAAAAATCATGAATCTCATGAAATGTGTAATTGAAAATAATTTTGGGAGAAAATGAGTTATAGAAAATGGAGGCCAAACAAAGGCTTGTCTCCATTTGATCCCCATTTTTTAAAATAAATTTTTTTTTTTTCAAACTCATTTTCAATCATATGTTTTATGGGATCCACAACTTTTATTAAATTTTTAGCCACACATTTCAAAAAGATAAGACCGAACATCAAAAGGTAATAGATAATAAGCGGATGACTATAGTTCTTTACTTATGTATGCTAATGATACAAAGTCTGATGGGGGCTAACATGGTTAACATATATAATCAAATTGATCTCATCTTTTGGTAATTAATAACCATTAAACTCACAGAAAAATACGAACAATCATGTCTAGAGATTTAGATGAAATGCTCGGTATTAAGTGGAATTATATTTTTTGGATGATCATACTATAGAATCAAACTCAACATATAGTCCCTTCAGCACTTTCCAAGTATATTAATGTCGGTTGCGATAATAATAAATCACAATCCCGAATACTAAATCAGTCAACACTACAACCTTTTAGTATAATGTGTCAATATTTATACATTGATTGTGATTATATTATTTATGATTAATATAAGTTATATCACACTATACTTCTCAATGAAAACACCCAACTTATATTATTACAAGTGATAATAAACACTTTAATTTGTATACTCAATATTTAATAAATACACAAAAAAAAAACAAAAATTACAATTTATGTATTATCAAAATGATACGTTATATCAACAAAACTATACTATATGAGCAATAACCCAACACCATCTGTGTGATACATGCACAACATGTTAGTTTTTCTAATTTGAAGTAATTGAATTTATTATTATTATTATTTTTTTAATTATTGGGGCCTTTGGTCAGTTTGGTGTAGACTCTTCTCCGATGTACCCCAAATATAGTGTAAAAGATAGTTTTTACACCAAATGAAAAGATTGAGGTCATATCCAGGACCTTTTTAAAAGGTTGAAAATGAAATATACAATTTTCCTGTAAATTAACATTTACTATTCTTGTTGCTTTAATATTGTGTATAAAATATGTTTCCTTTGTAAAAGTTTAATGTAAGATTATCTTTATCTCTGTAGCACATATTGCTAGTGGAAGAAAGTAAAAGAATGATGAGGACTCCTTGCAAGTTGGGCAGCACTTGACCCATAAATTTTACCAATTCTCTTCGATGTCAAATTTCATTCGAGTGGTGCACTCATTGAGAGTAGACTTTCTATCCATGTTATGCCTTTTCTTTTTCACATATTGGTACATATCCTAAATTAAATTACAATATTGTTACCACTTTTAAGAAATTACTCTAAATTATAAATACAAATAAAACATATTTTGTTCTTGAAAAACGTTGACACTAGCTACATGCATGAATATTGTTCCTCTATTCTGTTGGGAATCTACTTATACATGCACAGCGGAATTTAAAATAATTTTCGATTCCCACCAAGAATCGCCTTTGTGTTTAGATAGAAATTGTGATAAGATTGTACCTTTTCCAGATCTGCAATCCTTTTGCTTTTCTTTTCGTTCCACAACTTTGATTCGCCACCACAGCTGTCCAATTGTCCAGCCTCCAACGGTGATCCACACAGAGAATATGATTGCAGCCTTTAGGGTTTTTCTTGTGCCAGCAAGAATAATGAAAATCCATATGGACCTCAAACCCTAGTTATGTATTTATATAACCCAAACAGGCTCGGCCCGGTCTGGTACAATAATTAATTAATCCAATTAATTAAACACGGTCCGTGAATTAATTAATCTAATTAATTAATTCGAAAATATAAATAACAAATCCAATTAATTAATTTATCCAACGATTGTTAAATTAACCAATTGG